GAAGAGGGTAATAATGACAAAAGATCAAAAATCATTGAAACTGAAAACAGAAACACAATGGAGAAGTCAGTCAAAATAAAAGGACCATAAAGGAATACTACAAATAATTCTTTATACATAAATTTGACAGCTTAGATTAAATCGACCAATTACAATTCCTTGAAAAACACCAACTATCAAAACTTACCTAAGATCAGATAGATACTCTGAATAATCCTGTAAGTATTAAAGACTTTGAATTAGACTTAGAAACCTTGTGTAATGGGGTATAAAAGGTCCAGGCCCAGATGATTTCCATGGTGAACTCTATATATTTAAAGAGGAAATAACACCAATTCTACACAGTCAGTTCCAGAAAAAGGATAAGTAGGTAATCTTCCATCTCAATTTATGAGATGATCATGATCCTGATCTCAATACTCGATGAAGACCATAAAAAAAAGAAAACTACAGACCAACATTTCTCATGAATTTACATGTTAACTTGTTAACCTACAAGTTAAAATCCTCCACAAAATATTGGTAAACCAAATCCAACCATATATAAATAAAATTATATACTGTGACAAAGTGGAATTTATTCCAGGTATACAAGGCTCCTTTAACACTTAAAAATAAATCACTATGGGGATGCTTGGTTGGCTCAGGTAAGCATCTGACTCTTGATTTTGGCTCAGGTCATGATCCAAGGGTCGTGGGGTAGAGTCCTGCATTAGAGCCTGCTTAAGATTCTCTCTCTTCTACCTCCCTTGCTCTTTCTCTCTCTAAAAATAAATAAGTACATAAATGGATTTAAAATTATATCAGTGTAGTCCACCTCATAAGTGGGTTAAAAAATGAAAATCATATGATCGTAACCGTTAATGTATAAAGAGCATTTGGTAATGGTAATTGGTAATTTGGTAATTGGTAATGAATGCATATCCTGTACCCATTCTTTAGAAAACTACTCAGAAGTGTAGCAACAGATTGGTAGTATCTGAACGTGATATAAAGCATATATAAAAAGGAACAGCTAAACTTCTACTTCCCTTAAGAAAATAAATGGTTTTCTCCTAAGACTGGGAATACGGTAATGCTATGTGCTCTCACCTCTCCTATTTAATAATCTGTTGGAAGTCACATTCAGTGCAGTAGGCAAGAAAAGAAATAAAAGGACTAGAGATTGGAATGAAAAAACATAACTTCCCCTATTTGCAGATCATATATATCCCTGTGTAGAAAATTCCAAGCTATCTACAAAACATGTTAGAACTAGTAAGTAAATAGCAAGGTTGTAGGATACAAAGTCCGCACACAAAAGTTAATTGTATTCCTACATACTAACAATGAATAACTGGAAACCAAAATTAAAAATGTACAATTTACAGTTGCTCCAAAAGTAGTGAGTTGCCTACATATAAATTTAGCAAAATATCTATGGGATCAGTATGTGAAAACTATAAAACACTGATGTGGAAAATCAAATGACATAAATGACTTCATAGGTTGGAAGTCTCAGTAAAAATGTCAATTCTCAAGTCTCCCTACATATATAAGGAAATTCATATAGAAATTCCCACAGGGGTTTTTTAATAGCCACAGGCTATATGATTCTAAATTTATATTAAAGAGCAAAGAAACAAGAATAGATCATCAATTTTGAAAAATAAATTACTCAATTTTAAGTATTATATAACCATTGTAATCAAAATTGGTATTGGTGACAGGATCAACACCTAGATTTTTGATTGTGGAGAATGGATAGCCTTTCAGCAAATGGTTTTGGAACACTTGGATAGGCATCAGGGCAAAAAGTGAAACTCGAGCCAGACCTCACACATTATATAAAAGTTGACACTAAAATGAATTACAGAGCTAAAGGTGAAACATATAACTATACAAATTTCGTTACAAAATATGACTTTGGGTCACGTGAAGATTTTCTCAGATATAGCCCTAAAGGTCTAATCCAGAAAAATTATCAAGTTTGACCTCAAATTAAAAACCTGGTATGCTAAAGTTCCTGTTAAGGGGTTGGAAAGGTAAGCTATGGCTCATTCTTGGGACTGAGAAGAAATATTACAGGTCGCCTATTCAACAAAGAATTTGTATACAAAATGTGTTAGGAACTCTAAATTCAATAGTAAGAATACCAAAAATCCAAATAGAAAATTGGCAAAGGGCTTAAGGAGACATTTCACTAAAGAGTGACATATATATATATGTGTGTGTATACACACACACACACACACACACACACACATATATATATATGCACAAATATGCACATGAAGATGTTCAGCATCACCGATCAGGAAACCATTCAGGAAATACAGATAACTCTTAGATATAAATATATATAAATATAAATTAGATATAAATATAATATAAATAGATTTCTAAGTAAATATAGAAAAAAACACCCTGGGGGATTAAAGACCTGAATGTAAGACCTGAAACCATAAAAATCCTAGAAAAGAGCACAGGCAGTAATTTCTGTGACATTGGCCATAGCAAGTTCTTTCTAGCTATGCCCCCTGAGGTAAGGGGAAAAAAAGCAAAAATGAACTATTGGGACTACATCAAAATAAAAAGCTTCTACACAGTGAAGGAAACAACAAAACTAAAAGGCAACCTACTGAATGGGAGAAGATATTTGCCAATGACATACCCAACAAAAGGTTAGTATCCAAAATGTATAAAGAACTTATAAAACTCAACACCAAAAAAACAACCAATTAAAAAAAATGAGAAGACATGAACAGACATTTTCCCAAAGATGTCCAGATGGCCAATGATCACATGAAAAGTTGATCATCATCACTTACCATCAAGGAAATGCAAATCAAAATTACAATGAGATATCACCTTACATCTGTCAGAATGGCTAAGATCAACAACAGAAGAAACAAAAGGTGTTGGTGAGGATGTGGGGAAAAAAGGAACACTCCCACACCCTTGGTGGGAATGCAAACTGGTGCAGCCACAGTGGAAAACACTATAGAGGTTTCTCAAAAAATTAAAAATACTATTACCATAGGATCCAGTAATTCAACTACTGAGTATTTACACAAAGAATATGAAAACACTAATTCAGAAAGATAAAGGCACCCCTATGTTTATTGCAGCATTATTTACAATAGCTAAAACATGGAAGCAACCCAAGTGTTCATGGATTTATCCATTCATGGATAAATTTATCCATTTATCTAATGGATAAAGAAGTGGTATATATACACAATGGGATATTATTCAGCCATAAAAAAGAATGAAATTTTGTCATTTGCAACAACATGAATAAACCTGGAGGATATAATGCTAAGTGAAATAAGTCAATCAGAGAAAGACAAATACCGTATGATTTCACTTGTATGAAATTTAAGAGTCAAAAAGAAATGAGCAAAGGGGAAAAAAAGACAAAGCAAGAAACGGACTCTTTTTTAATATTTTTTAATGTTTATTTTTGAGAGAGAGAGAGAAGGAGAGAGAAAGAGAGGGAGAGACAGAGGATGAGCGGGGGACGGGGAGGGGCAGAGAGAGAGACACACACACACACACAGAATCTGAAGCGGGCTCCAGGCTCTGAGCTGTCAGCACAAAGCCTGATGCAGGGCTCGAATTTACTGCAAGATCATCACCTGAGCCAAAGTCGGTCGCTTAACTGACTGAGCCACCCAGGTACCCCCAGCAGACTCTTAACTATAGAGAACAAACTGATGGTTACCAAAGGGGAGGTGGGTGGGAGGATTAAGGAGTGCACTTGTCATGATGAGTGGGTGATTAAAATAAAACCAGAAAAAAATGTCTTGGGAAAATAATTACATAGCTAATAGAATGGCCAATATGAAAAATACATGAGTGAAATATAAGCTTAAAAATAGCAAATAAAGGACTTCTCTCTTATATGAACCCATGTGAGAGTGGGAGGTGCTTGAGTTGTAGTTTCCTAGAAGAAACAAATTGTTTGTAATCAGGAAGTGGTTCCATATAAGCCTTCCCAGTAAATTGCCTGAAGAGATATCAAAGAGTAGGCCTAAAGCACTAAGGATTCAATAATTTTACTAAATTTTCACCTCCATACCTTCTTTTATATTACTGACTTATTTTCTTTTCATTAAACTGGGTCTCCTAAATCCTGTAAGCTTTGGCCTTACAAAACCTCATTGTCATTCACAGATGAGAGAGGTTAAGAAGTAATGAAAGTCATTGTGAATTCATTTGGTGACAAAACTCTTGCTTGCTTGCTGCTATTTGTTCATAACAGCCTTGTAAATATAAACCTTATATCAGAATATATTTATTATATATGTACCAAGTTGTTTTAAAAAGGCTATGAAGTGACATAAATGATTGGTTTAGTACAAGATAAAACCTAGGTAAATCGGTAGAGGCAGTATATTAGTGTTTAACTCTGTTGACTTGTGGGCTCAGACTTCCTTGGTTTGAATAGCAGTTCTACAACTTACTAGTTGTTACCCTTTTTGTCAGCGTTCTCATCTGTAAAATGGGAATAATAATAGTGCCTATTGACATAAGAGTTTTTGTGAAAATAACTTAGTACATGTAAAGCATTCAGAACAGTAACTGGCACATAGGTCTTCAGTGTTGGCTGTCAGTGTCAGCCCTGAATTGTGAGTATTTCAAGAAAGTAATGTATTGAAAATCTTCATTTGAAAATAAACTAAAATGTTGTCTTTGCCTAAAGTACTCCTTTATTTGGTGTTTTATTGTACACGTAGTGTAGACGCCTTCTACATACCGAAGAACCAATAAATATTAAGAACTAAAAAAAGAAATTTGGTAGAAAGCAAACATTATGTTCCTTGAATTTAATTCTGTTCTAAGCCATTTCCTGAATCTTTTTTCTTAAATATGTCCTGAATATTGTTTTTCACTACGTAAACTTCAGAACAACTCATTTCCTATTATTCAAGATCTTAACTTTAGGCTTTGCATTTTAGGACTTTTCAAAATCTGTTCCTATTATTCACTATTTTTTTTTCCTTTTCCCTTTATAGGTCACCATTTGCTGCTGTCACAGACTATTCAGTTACAAGGAATAATGTCATACAGCTCTGCTTGGAATTAACAACAATTGTGCAACAGGTATTAGCTGGCAACATTTCCTTCTCTTAATTTATTATCTATTTCATATTCAAACAATGAATAGTATTCCTTTTTACCAAGAGTTTGTAAGATACTGGTTTGGGAGTTTCTACTTAAAGACAAATGGTTCTAAATAAACCAAATATGTGGTTTGGGAAACTATTCATATATCCCAATAAACAAGCATTTTATTTACCAGAAGATGTAAAAATGTAAAAGTATACTGAACTTCTAGAGAAATCATTATAAGATCATAAGTCTGGTAATCTCACATTTTAGTGGGGAGGACTGTACTGCCTTTCACAAAATTAAATTTCCCCATTTAGATAACAGTCTAAGACTTTTGCTCTAAGACACTGTTCTTTATTAGTACAATTATTAGTTTCATTTATATATTGCACATATGAAAAAAATACTCATAATAGCTTTTAACAGTGACTGTGACCTGATTTTATTTTTACTTTGAATATTATCCAAACCAGGGATCCCCAAATCAAATGCCTTCAGGAGTACTGCCACTAATATAAATCAAGCCAGGCATGAGATATGGAGAAATCATAGAGTGATGAATTGACTAGTACATATTTTATAAAATTTAATTAAATCTAATAATGAAACACATCTGAGAAGTCTGAAGCCTGCAGCCACCATGCTGTGTAAGCCCTGATGGCAGCCTCTTGCTGACACTGCTTTCTTGGGTGCTGGTTGGTATTTGTTAACCTATCCAGTGTTTCAGAAAGAAAGCAGACAATAAAATAAGATGATACAGGAGATTTGGGGGAAAACTGATGATTTAATTTTTTATTCTACTCCCTGTCTTTCATTACCAGGGATAATTATAGGAAGGAGGGTAACTTTGTGACTTTTAATTGTGGAACACATCAGACATTCATCAATGTTATATCATGGCAATGATAAAGTCAACAACTCTTTGTTACTCAGAGACATGCATGGAGAGAGTGAACATTTTTTATGAGCTTTGAGATACCCTAACAGTCTCACTGCATGTCTTTATATTTGATATCAGTAAATGTAATTTCTGAATTTACAAGGTCTCAACTGGATGATGGGGAGAAGAGTGGCATTTTAGGACAAGACTCAGCAAACATTTTGTAGAAGATAGATATTAAGTATTTAAGGTTTTGTAGGCTGTGTAGTGTAGGCAATAAGGGCCTTTTGAAACTACTCAACTCTGCTGTTTTAGTGCAAAAGCAGCGTTAGACAATGTGTAAATGAATGGGTGTGGCTATGTGCCTATAAAACTTGTTTTGCAAAAAAAAAAAAAAAAAAAAGCTGCAGATTGAATTTGCCCCTTGGGCCATCTTTTGCTGACAAGTGAACGTTCTAGGGCATTGTTAGTCCAGTGTGGTCTGCGGACCAGCAGCATTATGATCCCAGGGGTAAAAAAGCAATAATATAACCTATGGGTTATTATTCTTACCCATGACATTTTTTAAAAATGTATTTTTTAAAACTTGATTTCTTTTAAAGGCATTAAACTTAACCAAAGATTTGAGATATGGACAACAGTGTATTAGTTTCTTTCTTTTACTATGAGAGAGAAATTCTCTCTGATTTAGAGATGCATATTACACAGTATTTTTATAGTACTCTTCATACCTTTTAATATAGATAGTGCTCATTAGCAATCTGTATTAAACAATCATAATAATATAAGAATTATTAACTGCTACATGAGAAGATCTGTGATAACTGTATTATGTGTGTTATTTAAGCTTTTTATTTATACATGAGACCCAAAACAATGAACAGATGGTGAAGTTGAATGTAAGAATTAAAAGTTTATTTTTCAAGTTTTTATACATGAGAAACTCCTATTGTCAATTCTATGAGAATGCCATCCATCTGATATCATCTTGCCAAGTAACTTCATTTCCAAGCATAATTATGACAGAAAGTGGGAATTTTTTAGTTCTTGTGTCTCCTCCAAACATCTGGACCTGGATAGCCTATTTAAAATTTTACTTTTGAGTAATTGGCTGTCTCTCTGTTGCCTTAAAAACGAAGACTGCAAATCTAAATGGCAATTATGATGTTTTCTTGAAAATCTTGAAGAAGAGTACTCAGGTGTATTCATTTTCCCTTAATTAATGCATAATGTTTTCTCACATCAAAAAGGGATCAACAAAGTGATCTTGAAAAAAATTACCTTTAAGTGTACAGTGAGATCATATATGGAGAGTTTTCTATGTTTAGAACTCACAGGTTCCAAAACATACCTTTGTCATTCTAACCTTCAGATGTTACATTGAGAAGAATGGCTGAAATTATTTTCAGTGAATTAAGATTTCCTGTAGAGAAATTGTCCAGTTGTGGAAGTGTGATTTCTGTCAGATATGACTAACTCCCACCTATTCTGCTATTTTTAAGAACATACCATCTAAATAACAAGTGATTCAGCTTTTGTTCCAGAATGTATGAATACCTGCTATTGACAACTACTTCATAACAAACATATGCCATTCTGATATTACCCTCAAAGGCTTATTTGTGCTGTCAACGCAACCTTTAACAGATGTACTATGTGGCTCAACATTCTCCTTAGGAATTTACTTTAAGACACTAATGGGTTTAAGTTTTGCTGTTTATAGCTCAGGAAACATGGTAGAGTATAGAGACATGCTTTCAGAAGTTGAACTTGATGTACATTCTGTCTTGCCCAAATACAGAATTATTGAAAACACTCCAAATAACTGAAATATTCCAAATATACTCAGATGTAGAAGGACCTTCTGTACTTTCCACCCACTGTACACTCTGGTTTAAAGAGGATGCCTTGCCGTTCTTAGGACATTTTGTTCTAACATTACCTGTTTCTATTTTTTAAAGTTCAGTAGCTCTTTTGCCACAGTTCCTTCTACCTCACTCTCCTTTTCCTATCACATGTCCTGTTCCACTCATCACCTTTAAGATGCTTCTGAACAAAAACCTCTATACATAGGTAGTTTTGGTTCTTGCCTTGCCCACTCCTTCCCAACTTGTACCTGACCAGATTACTTAATTCATCTACTTTAACTACATCCTTTCTGTTGTATCTTAAGGAAAATGTTAAGATACCAATTTCTCTTCATAAAATACATCTTCCTGACATCCTCATGTAATTTACTTATAAGTATAGAATCGATCACTTTCAGACTAGTCATCCCAAAGCCCAGCTTTAATTTTGTCACTTTTAGCAATTTTCCTCTAGTTTCCAAATTGATTACAAACACCTTTCTTTGGAATTCAAGGGCATTCCAAGTATGGTCCTACCATAATTTCAGTTTTACCTTCCAGTACTACCATATATCTTAATTGTAGTCTACTTCATGTGGATGACTTACTGTTAATAAAATAGGTTTTGTGTCTCATCTTTTTATGGTGTGTGGTCTCCTCAGAACATGTCCTATATATCTTTCTCTCAGCCTGGTAAAATCATGATCTATTCTTTAAGGCCTCTAGGAAGTGCCTCATTCATGAAACTTTCACTATATCCCACAGCTCTTTGTACTTTCTTCCTACTTGACCATTTATATTTAATGTAACTATTGATATGGTTGGAATCATAACTGCCACCTTGCTGTTTGTCTTCTATGTTTACCATATGTTCTTTATTCTTTTTCTTTTCTGTATATGTTTTCATTAATTATTTTTTATGATTCCATTTTGTCCTGTTTGATGACTCATTAGCTATAATTCTTTGTTGTATGTTGTGTGTGTGTGTGTATATACATGCAATGGAATATTGCTAAGCCATAAAAAAAGAATGAAATCTTGCCATTTGCAACAAATGGATGGACCTACAGGGTATAATGCTAAGTGAAATTAATCAGTCAGAGAAAGACAAATACCGTATGATTTCACTCATATGTGAAATTTAAGAAACAAAATTAACAACAAAAAAAGGGAGACAAACACTCTTAAACAGAGAACAAACTGGTGGTTAGCAGAGGGGAGGTGATTGGCAGGGGGAGGGGAGGATGGGTGAAATAGATAATGGGGATTAGAAGTACACTTAGCATGAAAAGAACTGAGTAACATATAGAATTGGTCAATCACTGTATTGTACACCTGAAAATAATGTAATGCTGTATGTTAATTATACTGGATTTTTTTAAAGTCCTAATATGAACAACGCAATAAAATTTTAAAAACTATGGCATAATACTAAATACTACTTTACATAGCATTTCACATCTTACCTATGAAAGTTATATTCTGCTTTGAATAATAATTATCTAACTTCCATTAGATTATGAACTTCTTAAAGACAAGAATGGTGTCTTGCTGATTTTCATATATAGTAGGTGCGCATTACATACTTGGTAAAATAAATTGACCTGAGATCCAGTTATCCCCTCTGGTTAGCACATGCTCATTTGTACTCTTCCAAGAAATATTTGGTATTAGATCCTTGAACTGGTACTCATTTTATTTCATCTCCTGTGTAAAAGCTGTCGTTCTTTCTCTGCTAGTTATGTAAAGAACCCCAGAGAGGGGTGCCTGGGTGACTCAGTCACTTAAGTGTCCAACTCTTGCTTTTGGCTCAGGTCATGATCTCACTGTTCTGAGATCCAGCCCTGCAACAGGCTCTGTGCACTGACAGTGCAGAGCCTGCTAGGGATTCTCTCTCTCCCTCTCTCTCTGCCCCTCCCCTGCTTGTGCTATCTCTCTCTCAAAATAAATAAACTTAGGGGCGCCTGGAGTGGCTCAGGTGGTTAAAGCGTCCGACTTTAGCTCAGGTTATGATCTTGGAGTTCATGAGTTCAAGCCCACATTGGGTTATGTGCTGACAGCTCAGAGCCTGGAGCCTGCTTTGGATTCTTTGTCTCCCTCTCTCTGTCCCTCCCCTGCTCGCTTGCTCTCTCTCTCTCTCTCTCTCAAAAATAAAATAAACATTAAAAAAATAAAAATAAACTTAAAAAATATTTTTAAAAAAGAACCCCAGAGATATCTAAAGATACCCATCACTTTACATCTTAGTTTATTTACTGAGTTAA